ATGTATCTTAATACTTTGTTTAGCTTTTTGGAAGGCATCTTTCGCTATTCCAATGCGCCTTCGGATTTCGTGGATACCGAAGAATCCACATTTGCAATTCTTTTATTCATGTATCTTAATACTTTGTTTAGCTTTTGGAAGGCATCTTTCGCTATTCAATGCGCCTTCGGATTTCGTGGATACCGAAGAATCAACATTTGCAATTCTTTTATTCATGTATCTTAATACTTTGTTTAGCTTTTGGAAGGCATCTTTCGCTATTCCAATGCGCCTTCGGATTTCGTGGATACCGAAGAATCAACATTTGCAATTCTTTTATTCATGTATCTTAATACTTTGTTTAGCTTTTGGAAGGCATCTTTCGCTATTCCAATGCGCCTTCGGATTTCGTGGATACCGAAGAATCAACATTTGCAATTCTTTTATTCATGTTTCTTAATACGTTATTTAGCTTTTGGAAGGCATCTTTCGCTATTCCAATGCGCCTTCGGATGTCGTGGATACCGAAGAATCAACATTTGCAATTCTTTTATTCATGTATCTTAATACTTTGTTTAGCTTTTGGAAGGCATCTTTCGCTATTCCAATGCGCCTTCGGATTTCGTGGATACCGAAGAATCAACATTTGCAAATCTTTTATTCATGTTTCTTAATACGTTATTTAGCTTTTGGAAGGCATCTTTCGCTATTCCAATGCGCCTTCGGATTTCGTGGATACCGAAGAATCCACATTTGCAATTCTTTTTATTCATGTATCTTAATACTTTGTTTAGCTTTTGGAAGGCATCTTTTCGCTATTCCAATGCGCCTTCGGATTTCGTGGATACCGAAGAATCCACATTTGCAATTCTTTTTATTCATGTATCTTAATACTTTGTTTAGCTTTTTTGAAGGCATCTTTCGCTATTCCAATGCGCCTTCGGATTTCGTGGATACCGAAGAATCAACATTTGCAATTCTTTTATTCATGTATCTTAATACTTTGTTTAGCTTTTGAAGGCATCTTTCGCTATTCCAATGCGCCTTCGGATTTCGTGGATACCGAAGAATCCACATTTGCAAGTCTTTTATTCATGTATCTTAATACGTTATTTAGCTTTTGGAAGGCATCTTTCGCTATTCAATGCGCCTTTCGGATTTCGTGGATACCGAAGAATCCACATTTGCAATTCTTTTATTCATGTATCTTAATACTTTGTTTAGCTTTTGGAAGGCATCTTTCGCTATTCCAATGCGCCTTCGGATTTCGTGGATACCGAAGAATCCACATTTGCAATTCTTTTATTCATGTATCTTAATACTTTGTTTAGCTTTTTTTGAAGGCATCTTTCGCTATTCCAATGCGCCTTCGGATTTCGTGGATACCGAAGAATCAACATTTGCAATTCTTTTATTCATGTATCTTAATACTTTGTTTAGCTTTTGGAAGGCATCTTTCGCTATTCCAATGCGCCTTCGGATTTCGTGGATACCGAAGAATCCACATTTGCAATTCTTTTATTCATGTATCTTAATACTTTGTTTAGCTTTTGGAAGGCATCTTTCGTTATTCCAATGCGCCTTCGGATTTCGTGGATACCGAAGAATAAACATTTGCAATTCTTTTATTCATGTTTCATAATACTTTGTTTAGCTTTTGGAAGGCATCTTTCGCTATTCCAATGCGCCTTCGGATTTCGTGGATACCGAAGAATCAACATTTGCAATTCTTTTATTCATGTTTCTTAATACGTTATTTAGCTTTTGAAGGCATCTTTCGCTATTCCAATGCGCCTTCAGATTTCGTGGATACCGAAGAATCAACATTTGCAATTCTTTTTATTCATGTATCTTAATACTTTGTTTAGCTTTTTGGAAGGCATCTTTCGCTATTCCAATGCGCCTTCGGATTTCGTGGATACCGAAGAATCCACATTTGCAATTCTTTTATTCATGTATCTTAATACTTTGTTTAGCTTTTGGAAGGCATCTTTCGCTATTCAATGCGCCTTCAGATTTCGTGGATACCGAAGAATCAACATTTGCAATTCTTTTTATTCATGTATCTTAATACTTTGTTTAGCTTTTGGAAGGCATCTTTCGCTATTCCAATGCGCCTTCGGATTTCGTGGATACCGAAGAATCCACATTTGCAATTCTTTTATTCATGTATCTTAATACTTTGTTTAGCTTTTGGAAGGCATCTTTCGCTATTCCAATGCGCCTTCGATTTCGTGGATACCGAAGTATCCACATTTGCAATTCTTTTATTCATGTATCTTAATACTTTGTTTAGCTTTTGGAAGGCATCTTTCGCTATTCCAATGCGCCTTCGGATTTCGTGGATACCGAAGAATCAACATTTGTAATTCTTTTTATTCATGTATCTTAATACTTTGTTTAGCTTTTTGGAAGGCATCTTTCGCTATTCCAATGCGCCTTCGGATTTCGTGGATACCGAAGAATCAACATTTGCAATTCTTTTATTCATGTATCTTAATACTTTGTTTAGCTTTTGGAAGGCATCTTTCGCTATTCAATGCGCCTTCGGATTTCGTGGATACCGAAGAATCAACATTTGCAATTCTTTTATTCATGTTTCTTAATACGTTATTTAGCTTTTGGAAGGCATCTTTCGCTATTCAATGCGCCTTCGGATGTCGTGGATACCGAAGAATCAACATTTGCAATTCTTTTTATTCATGTATCTTAATACTTTGTTTAGCTTTTGGAAGGCATCTTTCGCTATTCCAATGCGCCTTCGGATTTCGTGGATACCGAAGAATCAACATTTGCAATTCTTTTATTCATGTTTCTTAATACGTTATTTAGCTTTTGGAAGGCATCTTTCGCTATTCCAATGCGCCTTCGGATTTCGTGGATACCGAAGAATCCACATTTGCAATTCTTTTATTCATGTATCTTAATACTTTGTTTAGCTTTTGGAAGGCATCTTTCGCTATTCCAATGCGCCTTCGGATTTCGTGGATACCGAAGAATCCACATTTGCAATTCTTTTATTCATGTATCTTAATACTTTGTTTAGCTTTGGAAGGCATCTTTCGCTATTCCAATGCCCCCTTCGGATTTCGTGGATACCGAAGAATCCACATTTGTAATTCTTTTATTCATGTTTCTTGATACCTTTTTTAGCTTTTTGGAAGGCATCTTTCGCTATTCCAATGCGCCTTCGATTTCGTGGATACCGAAGAATCAACATTTGCAATTCTTTTTATTCATGTATCTTAATACTTTGTTTAGCTTTTGGAAGGCATCTTTCGCTATTCCAATGCGCCTTCGGATTTCGTGGATACCGAAGAATCAACATTTGCAATTCTTTTATTCATGTATCTTAATACTTTGTTTAGCTTTTGGAAGGCATCTTTCGTTATTCCAATGCGCCTTCGGATTTCGTGGATACCGAAGAATCCACATTTGCAATTCTTTTATTCATGTATCTTAATACTTTGTTTAGCTTTTGGAAGGCATCTTTCGTTATTCCAATGCGCCTTCGGATTTCGTGGATACCGAAGAATCAACATTTGCAATTCTTTTATTCATGTTTCATAATACTTTGTTTAGCTTTTGGAAGGCATCTTTCGCTATTCCAATGCGCCTTCGGATTTCGTGGATACCGAAGAATCCACATTTGCAATTCTTTTATTCATGTATCTTAATACTTTGTTTAGCTTTTGGAAGGCATCTTTCGCTATTCCAATGCGCCTTCGGATTTCGTGGATACCGAAGAATCAACATTTGCAATTCTTTTATTCATGTTTCTTAATACGTTATTTAGCTTTTTGGAAGGCATCTTTCGCTATTCCAATGCGCCTTCGGATTTCGTGGATACCGAAGAATCCACATTTGCAATTCTTTTATTCATGTATCTTAATACTTTGTTTAGCTTTTGGAAGGCATCTTTCGCTATTCCAATGCGCCTTCGGATTTCGTGGAGACCGAAGAATCAACATTTGCAATTCTTTTATTCTTGTTTCTTAATACTTTATTTAGCTTTTGGAAAACATCTTTCGCTATTTCATTGCGCCTTCAGATTCCGGTGCCACATTTTCAAAAGCCCTTCCTAAATATTTAAATTTCGTTACTTGCTTGATTTTAACATTTTCAAAGTCCTGAGTATGACGATTAACTACATCCAGCACCAAAGCCTCTGATAGTGAGGTTTTGAAGAGGGTGGAACTACCTCTTAATTGATGTTATTCACAGGTCCACACAACCCAGAATGGTAGCACCTGTTAGATTCCCAGCTATGGGCAAATAGTGAATCTCCAAACTGGGGTGAAAACACTATGAAAGTGTATAAATACATTTTTATAGTGAATGTACTAACAATACATTTACATCGTAAAAATATTACCAGCAATACATTTTTGTGAAATAAATTACTACTGCTCCAAAAAAATTAAATTTTGGCACTAAATGACCCATAAGTTGTTGATATACCGTTAAACAAACAAGCAAACAATTCGTAGCGCACATGCTTGGACTGTTCCTTTTGCTGACAACCATATATTCTGTCTTCTGACAATGATTCCTAGATTACCCAAAAGCATTTGATAAGGTACGACACCCACAAAAAGAAATTATTAGTAATTACCAATAAACATGATAAAGAAAAGGTAGCAGCAAATTAATTGCAAAGTCAAAATGAAAGATAGTTCTGATTATTGGATGTAAAATTTAAAAGTCAGACATTTATTTTTTTTTTTTAAATATACTTGTTAGTTTTCTTTTGAGTACACTTGTCTTTGAATCTGGAACAAGATATTCATTTTTATTACCTGTTCTTATCGATTCCATCTTTTCTGTCTTTATCACGTGTACTATTATTTACTTCACAATTCCTTAACTTGTGAAAATCTTTGTCCTATCCTCGCTCTCTCTCTCTCTTTCTTTCTTTCTCTCTTCTCTCTCTTTCTCTTCATTCCATCTTTCCCTCTTTTTCAACCTTGAAAATTGTCTCTTTGAAGATATTTTTGGTAGACAGCACATTTCTTTGTATAATGTTTCCTTTGATTTTTTTCTTTTTTATTTGTGTGTGTGTGTGTGTGTGTCTTTCTTTCTTTCATCTTTTCTGTCCTGTACCATTTGCTGTTTTTATCATTTTTTTTAATACTTCTCAATTTTCTTTTTGTCTTTTTCATCACTCTCTTTTTCTGTCTGACTTTTTGTCTTTTTGTCATTTTTACGCTTGCCTTTTCCTCTTTCTTTCTTTCTTTCTTTCTTTCTTTCACGCGCATTTCAATCACTTCTTTTTTTGTAGGCTTTTTCTTCTCGCGTTTCTTTTCTCATGCATATTTTTGCACGACTTTTTTCTGCTTTTCTACATATATTTTCTTCTCTTATTTGTATATACAACATCCCCCTTTTTTACATCTCTCTTACTTTTGCATGCCTTTTTTCTCCTTTTTCTCTGCAAGCTCTCTCTCTCCATTTCTCTCCCTCTATCTCCTATCTCTCTCTGTCCTTCTCTCTCTCTCTCTCTCTCTCTCTGTGTTTTTATTTCAACACGCCCTTTCCTCTCTTTTCAGTACGCATTTTTATTGGCTTTTTCTACACAACTTTTCTTTCTTTATTTCTCTCTTTCTTTCTCTTTCTTTATTTATTTCTCTCTTTCTTTCTTTCTTTCTTTCTTTCTCTCTCTCTCTCTCTCTTTCTTTCTTTCTTTCTTTCTTTTGAGTCCCTTTTCTCGTCTCTTTCCGTTCTACCTTTGCACGTTTTTACTCTACACGCCTTTTCTTCTCTCTATTATTTTTACACGACTTACTCTTTTTTTTCTGCCCTCTATTCCTTCTCTTTTTTCTGCGTGGCTTTTTACTCTCTTTCTCTCTCTCCTTTTTTTTTTATTCTGTCCTTTCCTCTCTTTTTTCCATATGCCTTTTTATTGGCCTTTTTCTGTATGTTTTTTTCTTTCTGCACGCATTAATTCTCTCTTATTTTGTACACACATTCTGTACGTATGTATTTCTGTACTATGCTTTTTTACTGCATTTTCTATCCTTTTTATTCTCTGCACGCTTCGTATTCGATCTTTCTCCACCTTTTTTCTTCTCCCTCCCTCTTTTTCATTTGTTGTCCATTTTCCCCTTCTTTTTTTTTTAGCTTGCCGCCTTTCTTCTTTTCTCTCTGTGTCATCTCTACTTTTCTGCCCGTCTGCTCCCCTTTCCTTTTCATTTAGCGGATTTCAATCCATTCATATCGTCTCTCTATCCGGAATCAAATATGATTCTCTCTCTCTCTCGATCTATCTATCTATCTATCTATCTATCTATCTATCTATCTATCTATCTATCTATGTCTCTCTCTATATATCTGTCTCTCTCTATCTGTCTCTTTGCCTGTTTGTCTTTCAAAATAAACCTTTATTTTTATTATTAATCTTCTTTGTCTTTTACTTTTGTCTAAACTCATTACTGACTACACCATCTTCTGTCTTCTTCTACATCAACGACTAACACCATCTCCACGTTGGCAGTTGTATAAGCCGCATCGCTAACACTTAGCCGCGCTTTTTTTCTTCTTTTCTTTCTTTTGTAGAAGCATCTTTTCACAAGCTTTTAAAGCTTGCTCGACTTCAACACTGACATTTCCACATATGTACTTACTTACATGCATCTCAATCTTCCGTTGCGGCTTCTTTCTCTGTCTAAGTATTTTATTCTTTGAGTTTTCCCCTCACTGTGTGATACGAAGTCGAGCACTGCAGCCCGACCTTAGGAACATCAACAATAATGTTATTAACTAGAAAATACTATATTTATTAGATTATCATAACCGCTAACCTAGATATGATTAGACAGTAATTTAGTGGTCAGTTTTTATCAATAACCTGGTTATGTCTTCGGCGTATCATTTTGCATTAGATGACTATGGACCTTCCAGTGACTTACAACGCAGTCAGCTTTTAAAGTTTACATTTTAACGTTTTTTTTTTTAAATTATTTTTTTTAGGGCTTCTGCCTTAAAGAAGATGTCAAATTTTTATCCAATTTTATCTTCCGCATTCAACAATTACTTTTTTTTAACTGTACTTGATCTCTTTTCAGACTGTTAACCTTACACTACACTACTGTCTTATACGTTTACTACGGCAGTGTTAGGATCACTCTTTTGCCGACTCTCTTAATCAAATCTGCTGCTACACGACACAATAACATCACAAATAAATAACAATGCTCTTCATGCAGTTCTAGGCCATTATATACTATGCTGTACTTTCAGTTTCAATTCAATTGACTGACTCGTTTCTGTCGTGCGAACTATATGTGTGCTCTAAGATCACCTTCCCGACACTGTTTACAGGGAAAGCCTGATGATACAAACATTGGCATCATCAGCAGCATCAGTTTAAAAAAGACAATCTACTAGTAGTATCATTAGTAGTATTGTCGGTACTACTACTTAATTTACTAC